TCCCGGTGAATGCCTCCTCAAATCTCCGGATATTGGACTGGCTGAGAGAACGCATCCGACATTGCTACGAGTTAGTCGAGAAAGTTTCCCTTAAAGGTTTAAGGGCCCGTTTCCCCTTGAGTGGTGGCAACATTGTGGACTCAGGGCCTCCCGCAAACATCCTAGCGGAGGTCAACTGCAGAGCAGCGACTTGGAAGATTGCGGCGCACGTTTGCTGGACACTACAGACTGGACACCTTGGCCTGCTTAGGTGGGCGGTTATATCGGCAGTCGTTTAAGGAGTGGCCTGTCCCTCCTACAGTTTACCAGATTTTGGTATTTTTCTACCCGTTAAGACTAACTAGTAACAAGTGGACAGCAGTGTAGACTGAAAAAAACATGAATTTTTCTATTTATTAAGTGCAAACCCTTATTTATGAATATTTGGGAGAAAATCAAACCAGCTGGAGAAAACTGACGCATGCAAGGGGCAACACTGTCCGATACGGATGGGGCAGACGTCGATTAGTCCACACTTGCTGTACCATCTTCTGGCTTGCCAGGATATGGCAATTCGACACTCACAGGAAGGGGGTTTCACAACCTTTGTGTGATCCGCCAACCCCGTATCACCGTCCTGGAATGTAACATTTTCCATTTTTTGAAGGATTCAAATGAGAGAGTAGTTTTGAACGGTCTAGTTAAATGCCTTTGTTATGAAAGCGATACATTGACATATAAATGTCCAAAAAACACCAGAAAGCTTGAGCAACTTTCATCAGCACATAACAGAAGCGTTCAAAATGATCACGCAGTCGAGATGTTTGTAAAATAACCGTGACCCTCTCAGATGTCGATGCAATGTGGGGGTCACCAACGCCACGTCGGAAGCGTAGAGGTTTAGAGCAATGAGACTTGTACGAGAACACCACTCGTGTGACTGTAGTTTGATTGACGTAGCTCAAACTGCTGTCTTAATTGTAATTCTTTAATAGTGCGTGATGGGGTGGAGCAGTAGGCACAGTGGTTAGCGCTACTGCACCGTGACGACGCAGCAACTTTAGTTTTAGATTCCTGGCCAAGGGCAACATGAGTGACGAGTTCTGAGAATCGATCCTGGGCTTGCCCACTTTACCAACCCACACTGACCATTTCGGTGAAGTATGGTGCGGTGAAGTATTTTTCCAGCAGTGGATTGACGAAGGACTTTACAAGAATGCACGCTACCTTTCATCGGCACCCTGTATACGGCACTAAAGCTCACACTACAGCCCGTGAGTTCGCGTCAGAATGGCGTGCTGGCGGCGTTAACTGAAATGATAGGTGGTGGTGCGACGGGGGGGTCAGAGGGAAATTGCAGTGGCTGCAAAGCTGCCTGTGATATTATAGCTGCAAAGCAGCTTCTGTGCAGCCTGGCTTAAGAAGGCCCTCATACACGGTCAGTTTACTTTGTGTCCCAGTGCACAGTTCAATAATGATTTCCTTCACTCGGGTTTCTTGACCTTTTCCCCATCACGACTCGCTGGAATGGCTTTGGTCACAACTAGCGAGATGAAACAGCTGTTTCAAGAACCCCATGCAGGGTTTTAACATTGAGGGGCATCTGTTTCAATAAAAAAATTATGTAAATTGTTTTTTTAGCGCACGTAATATCAATGCATACATTGTACTGCGTATGAATTGCTAATTCCTCTGACCTCCCCAGGGTAGGTAACATGTATGATCAGTTACGCATGCACGTGTGTGTTCTCATGGGAAAGGTGGCGTAATGGTAAGCACACTGCCCTATGCTCTCAGTGACATGGGATTTATTCCTAGCCAATTATAACATCAGTGGAATTGGGTTGTGAATTGGCTGTTGCTTTCTCCTAGATCAACCTGACCTCAAATGAATGTCTTATATATGATTTGGTTAACAACAGCACTCAGATGAGAAGGTTGGCCAGTTATGATATTGGCACCCATACTCCTTGGTGTGCTTTACGAGCATTGATACAATTAAAATTTAAGGTAAATATACAGCCCTTGTCTAAATCCACTTCTGGATGAAGACCCCCCCCCCCCCCCCATGTCGTGCTGTTTGACCACATACTTCATCACACCATGCGGTGCAGCTTGGTGAAAGGTGGGGGAGTGGCCAGGACCGGTTGAGATATAATTCGCCACTGATGTTAGCCGTGACCAAGAATGGAACTCGGGTTGCTCGTTGCATAACGCAGTGCGCTAACCACTGCATCACTGCTCGACTCCCAGCAGGCTGAATAGGTACGAACAGTGCTTTGCACTCGTTACATTTTAACATATGAATTGGATATATGATTAGTAACTGTATTACGTAAAAATACGAAATTGGTTATTCATGCGTTTCTAAGGTATTGGTGCATGCCAAAGGTTCAGAGTTCAAATGCGATTTAGGGGGTGAACTCAGTCCTTCACCTCGAGTGTCGATAGAATCAGCATCACTTTGTGGCCAAGTCAACAGTGGTTGTCGAATAGGAAATACTAACCCCTGCCATAGGAATGTGGAATTTCCACTACTGGCTCAGGGCTGTAAGGAGGAGATGAGTGTCGCCTTGGGCTCAGTTGAGCTGGAAGCCTCTCTTGTCTTTCAAAGAACAACGGATATGCTTAGCCTGTGCTTAACACAGCTGCCAAGTTCATATTCCATATGCTGTATTTTCTTATACAATGCATTCCAATGGCACTTATCTGTAGATTAGTTGCATTTCTGCTCGTGGCAGATTTGAAGAGAAGCTACATGAAGAGCACAAAGTCCCCTCCCGGAAAAGGTTGTGTAAATAAATAAAGACAAGTAATAGTATACCATGGAAACAAAGACAGTTAACCCTTTCAAGATTTATATTTTAAAAAAAATAATGAACCATAATTGAAAGGAATAAAAAAACTCACCAAACACACACATGCCTCATCTGTCATTTCATGGAAGATTTTGGGGAAGCTTTAAATCTTTCAGCAGAAGTCTGAAAAATAGAATCGCACATTTCACATGTGGAATAACTGGTCTTGTAACCCAAAAGGAAAACAAATAGTGCTCATAGTTACAGCCGTGTAATTGAAATAACCCTCTAAAGTGCAAGGGAACTGCTTAAGAGAATTGGTTCGTCTCTCTCTCTCTCTCTGTCCACTTTAACATTGCACTTTCATGTCTAATCGTTTATTTTTGTAATAATTCAGTAAAAAAAAATCTTCGTTAAATTATGATTGTTAAATAAAATTGCGGTATTGTACAGAACAATTCAGGAATGGTCTTGCTCAAATATGATGTTGAATCTAATTGTGCACATAGATATGAGAATAAGGTGTATTGTTATCATTGACAATTGCATGTTTTTGCTTACAAATGCTGATATGGTAATTAAATGTATGCATTGGATACAAAAGAAATCTGCTACAATTTTTGCATGTGGTACATGGCACCACGATGAAATCAGAACGAATGATTAAAAGTTCAAACAGCAACTCTGGTTTCATTCGACCTTTTATCGGCGTCAATTTAAAAAAAACATATTTTGGCTCTGCCACACGTTCTTTTGTTTCAGTTGCATTCAACTGTAAATACGTTACACTCATCCAAGAATGTTTTTCCTTAAAATGTCGAAATATTGTTCCTAGAATTTTGCAAATGATATTTGACATATTTGAATTATTAACACACCGCACAATGGCTGAATAGAAAAAAAAGGCCAAAACATGAAATTCAAGTAAGGACAGAAGCAGTAGTGTTTTGCAAACCCACTGTGTATCTGGAGGGTGTTAGTGGCTATCAAATGGCCACCCGGGCCTGGATCCCAGCCCACAGTTGTTGCATGACACTCGTGTCTGATGTCGCTGTCGTCATATAAATGCTCTCGTTTATATTGCCCGTTGCCCGGGAAATGGGGCCCGCGATGCTTTTTTTGCATTTGCATGGCACGCCGCGCCGCCCACTCTGGCCGCGGTGGCGAGCGGCCTGCTGTCTTTGTCACCTTGGGCTTGGCACGCGGGTTGTTCGGTGTGAGGCACGGTCACGCGTCCCAGGGGCGTGTAAGCACAATGCGGCCGTTTGTGCTCTGCTCGAAGGTAAAAAAAAAACCACCCCACCCCCCCCCCCTGCAAAATGCAAGCGGTGCTTTGGTTGGGTCTTTTGTGAACGTTTTAGCCGCCTATTAATTTCACGCGGCCTTTTGTCAGAGCTGAGAGCGACGACGCACTTTCATTCACCCAGGTTAATTTATGTCGCTGCGGGATGGGGAGCTCACGCTGGAAAATTGGATCGATTTATATGACAATTTTAGAATGTTGTGCAGGGGTGTAGAATCGCATTCTCTCCCACGAATGCAGGGTGATGAGTTTAAAAAATAATTTGTATTTACGTAAAATTGCTATCTCTGTGTCTGTGGTTTGTTATATTTCGCTCCCATATTTTGAAAATGTATTGAGTGGTATAAAATGCGTATATTAGTCTTCATATGCAAATAATATAATTTCTGTACGGGATTTCAGTGCACGTAAATTAATGGGAACAATTAATGCAGAATGAATGGGTATTTCAGTTTCCATGTCCTTTGAATGCAAACGTTTCACAATGCTGGAAAAACCCCCAATGAATTAATTAGTTAATTAATTAAAAATTCAAAGCAGCCCGACAGACATCAAATTCAACATACTGCAAAATCCAGAAATGTTAGCATATATTTTATACATCATCATATGTGTAACCATCAATAAGTGTAAATATAAGCATTGATAGTCTGACAAAAATCAAACCTCAAGAGCAGTTGCAACAATTCCCTCTTACGGTAACATCTGTGACAACTTTGATTGTGCCGTTCGTTGCTTGGTTCGAAGATGTTTTAGGCCACTGGGTCTGTGCTTAGTAGTTGTGTAAAAAAAACCCAAAATACACATTCATTCCCAAACATTACAAGAGCAACACATACAAACACCCCCCCCACCCCCCAACTTGTGTCGTTCAATGTCTCATATGAATAAGCCCGTCTTCTTCTGCCCAAATTCTACAGATGATGATGTGGACCTGGAGAATTTGGTCAATGACATGAATACGGCGGAGTCAACGGGAAGCACTTCGAGCAGCCCTGCCGACTCGGTGCCTCTCCTGCAGCCCTGCGCAGGGCCTGACGGCAGGGAGACGCTCGCCCACGCTCTGCCTCCCATCGCCGCCGCCGCCGCGGCCGCCACGGCCGCCTCTTCCGCCGTCACAGCCTCTCGCCCTGGCATGTCACGTGTCGCTCCGCAACCGGGCGACGCTCGTGAGCTTGGGGACACCTCCTCCCTGCTGCACCAAGGCGTCCGTCGTTCTCAACCGGTCCACATTCGAGCAGTCCGGTATTCATGCTCATATTGCACAAAAGCTACGGAGACGTATTTTTTCTTTGCGGTGTGCGTCAAAACTAGGTAGTTTTTTTTTTATCAACACGGGTGTAGGCTACGTGTGTACGGCAAAAAAATAACCACGTAATATTTGGAAAAGGGATATTTACAGTGTGCACCGATTGAATTTGGTTATATAAGTCATAGAGTGGTAAAGAGGCCAGTGACTTTGTTATGACTGCACCTGTTAACAAAACCAAGATATTTATTTGAAACTTCCTGCCGATGGCTACCAAATGAAACACTTCCTCTGCTATGGTAGCAAAACTTTAATTATGGAAGTTGATTGTGACGTTATATCTCTGCCGACGTGGACATGGAAAGTATTTATCGCAACGGAAATGTCAGGCCGTTGTCCTCTTGAACCTTTGTCGGCCTTCCATCGGTGTACGGTGACACGTAGTTGACAAATTTCCAGAAAAAAATTGCCTGCATTCGAATGCAGGCAACGTTCACAGATGGAGTAGTTGACAAATTGTTTAGGTTATGGGTCAATAGTTGCTTCAGAGAGCTCTCTCCAATAAGTGCATGTACAAGGTTGGTTTCCCATGTATCTCCTTATTTTGAAGAAGTAGTATGTTCATTTATACATTGCCATGAAACAATCACATATGCCGGACAATAAACTTGTCCAGATGTATCTTTCTCCTCCTCTTTAATCCAGGGCTTAAGCAAATAGGGGAGGGGTGCTTGTGGCAACTCGCAGATGATGGTTAAACCACAGACTGTGGTCAGCCTTAAGTGGATGTTACACAAGTTTCCAGACTTAGAAACGGCAGGATTTGTAATACATTTTCATAATCTCATTTTCTTTTCAAGTTTCTTTTTACGTCCACTATTGCAATTTATGCTTTAAATTTCACAGTAAGGCTACGTTATGAAAAAAATTAATAAATAAATCTATTTTAAAACGTAGTAATAAAAAGGACACGTGTATAGCCGAAATGCCACCTTTATACATTCTGCATTACCTCCAACTAGACCAGTCACCTGCCAAACATACACTCAAACTTAGTGTTCATCTGGAAAAACAAAATATGAATACTTTTGTAAAACTATATCTATTGACAAATTCCACTTTATTAGAGGCTGCCATTATTTTGTGCCAAAAAAGTCAATGTGCTTCCTCTTACCACAATCGGGCATTGGATACAAACTGGAATTTTCTCATCAAATAGTCTCTGTTGCAATGAGGCCTTTGGCAGCGGGGATGGCCGACATTCCCCGGAAAGTATTAACAGGGATCAAATTTGTTGTTCACCTTTGGAGCCATTTCCATGAGAAACACATGTTAATACTGTACGTCCTTACTATGGTAATTATTTTTTATTCAAAATAGAATTTGAGGAACGCGTTAAAAATAACTTTTTTTCCAAGGTCTTACATGTTAATTGAAGGTGTTACATGTTGCCATTACTATCTGTCCCAATATGTGGCATCATCATTCTTAATGGTGTAAACTGAGTATGATGAAATGGACTAAATTACTTAGTCCAACTCTGTTGTTGCTACATTGCTAAATTCTTTAGATCTCAAAAAGGATTCAATTACAATTATAATTTATGATCTGAGCATATACCCTGGGTGTATGCTTGGCATGGAGGGTGAAAAATTTCATGGATGATTACCTCTCCATCTTTGGTATAAGGCTTACTCAGTCTCTTGATCTCGTGTATACAAGAATTTAATATAAACTATCGGAATCATTTAGTTACATATGTGACTAACATAGGATACATTTTTGTACGTATTTACTTTTTTAAAGTTTTACATGACTTGTAGATTTTCATCGGAGTACCAACTGCTACGGTTGTAAGAAGGTGACAGAAATAAATTGACTCCCTCTCGTATATGAATAGGAATGCAGTAATGTACTGTAGTAGAAAGTTACATGACGAATGGCAAACACAAACCTTCACTGATGCAGTGAACTGGCAGATTACATGGCTGCTTTATATTGAAAAATGTTAAGTGACTTGAAAGGGGATCTTTGATGTTGTGTATATTGTGTGCAACTATTCTGTTATCAAATGTAAGGGCACTTCAGACCAAATGTTATGTTTACACGTGCATTCCTTTTTGTAAGTACTGGATGAGGGTTGATGACGGTGGGGGGCACAGACGTTGGAGCATAGTACAGTACAACTATTGATTTTACTGTACTGCCGTCTGCTGACGCAATAGCCTCACAGCGGCCCGCAACACCTGTTTAATTCCATAAATATTCCAACTTTTCTAATTACTATATGGCAATGCAAGTCAAGCAATTGTGTCGAACATTACATAATTGGCTATGGCTTAATGTCAATTTTTTTTTACCATTTAATTTGCTAAAAGATTCACCACTGTGAATGGCATGAGGTTCGTAGGTAAAGCAGGATTTACCTGTTGGTGTGTGTGCATATTTTAGTTCAGTGTGCACACATGCACACAAGTGTATGGTTTGCATGCAGCACGTTCCTGAAGAAGTCTTGAACACCATCCGATGCCTGTACCCAGGAAACTAATAATAATACTACAAACACAAGCTCCTCCAGCGCATCATCACATACACAACAGCCCTGTCATGTGACCCCAGTGCAACCATCTTCTCACTATCACAGGGACATGTTGCCAACTGATTAGCACGGTTGGCTACAGAAGTTCAACATACATACGTTAGGATCGAACCCACAACCTCCTGCATACCAGGCGAGGGAGATAACATCTCGCCGCCGCCGGCACCCTCGGACACCGTTGACTATCGGAAAAGTGGCCAACCAGCATGACCACCTCTGTCGTGACCTTTGTTACTGGTTAATGGAAACCTGTCCAACTTACGTTCAGCGCATGTTTAATAGAGAGCTTGTCATCACGTTGCTCACCTACCCTGCAAAATGGTCATTGTTGAATTTGGCTGAATCAGAGATTGTGCGGGGGATCTTTTCTGGTAGACCTACAGTTGGTTTAATGGGTTGTTTGTTTCCATTAGTTTTCCACGGTAGGTGATTTCAGGTGACTGTTGTATATGCCAGGTCTTGGAAATTTAATGAAAATAATAAAAATTAAATGAAACTTGGAAAAATGCGTAATTATCCGAAATTATGTTAATTGGTGCATTTATGCGCATAAATTATGCTAATTGGGAAGGTTTAATCGTATTAAGTTATGTAATTGCATGCGATTATGCTAATGACCACCGCTATGATAATTAAGCCCTGCATCGTTGTCGAGGATAGTATTATCAATCGGGATCATACAATTGTATGAAGTTATGCAGGTGTGCTGTAAGTAAGCTAGATTAAGCTCGGCTTCGTTGTCTAGGTTTATATTATCAATCGGTATAGTACAATTATTCTCGCTTTAACATTTACTGATTATGTATTAGTGTGTTTATGTCAGGTCTCCAAATTCAAATCTCACCGCAGGATACAGTTCTTATAATTAAGATTATTATGCATGAACTTAGGAAGGCACCACTCAGACACTTCTGTGTTAAGCAATTTTAATTTCTAAACAAAACCTTAACACTCTAATATGCGAACTCTTATGCTTGGAATTGTCAACACAGTACTCCTGGAGATGTTCCCCTCATTGATCCATACATTTAACCCTCAATGATCACGTTTGTTAACTGGGCAACAGAACAATTGATGACTTCCTCAGAGTAACACCAGCATATACGGCGATAGGAACAAAAAGTCCTTAAACATTAATGCAACGATATTCATACGAAGGCAATAAAGAAACATGTCCCGAAGGCAAAAGTATACGGCAATTAATTAATGGCCAAGATTACGTAATTAACTAAATGTTTGGAACAGCAATTACCTATCAATTGGCTAAGGCTTCAATAATTTCGCAGGCAGATTCTGTGATCAAAAGAAAGATTTCAACACAATAATCTCCCTGTGAGTGTGTAGATTCGTAACTTAGGTTTATAAACGTTTAGTTTTCATCGATGAATTCATTGATAATATTTATGCAAGTCAAAAGAAACATAACTAGTAAAATACTTCTAAACGACCGTTTCCCCGTAACCCAACGGCAGCCGTGTTCTTCGTTATCAGTTGATACTTGACGCACTTATCATGAGTCTTCTTATTAATTTTCGTTCGTGTATGTGTTGAGTGGGGGTGTTATTTGTCTTCTTGATCAATTATTTGCGTTAAGCAGACGCCGAGGTTGGGCATCCCTTGTATTAAAATGTGTTTGTTCCCTACGGAGCGGTGAGGGTTGTGAGGGTGTGAGTGTGTATCATACGGGCAGCTTGGCACTCCCTCTTTCACACGGGCGGCCACAGTTTCTGTCCCCAGCTGGTTGGAAGAGTCAGCACGACGCTCGCCGTCGGTGCGCGATGATCCCGTCGTCAGATAGCACCCGCAGCTTGTCGTCCGCTGGCAGCTGGCACCCTTACTTGGTGACGCTGGTGGGAGTGTGGGTCGAATCCACAGGGCTCTCGCCGGCGTTCTCCTCTTCTTCACGGGCGGCCGGTCAGGCTCTTTCCCCTGCTGGATGAGCCGAGTCGGCACAATGCTTGTCCGCTGGCAGCTGACACCCTTGCTTGGTGGCGCTGGTGGCGCTGCTGTGCACTCTCTCTTGCTCCGTCTCTCTCTGGCGGAGCCGATTGCGCGTGCAGCTGGTTCTCTGCAATGCTGGCTTGGTCGATGCTTGGCCCTCTCCGCCCTTTCTCGAGGTTTATTGCTTGACGCTACTCGCCAGTTCAACTCGAGCTACAGCAGCTGCACGTGGGAGATGGTACTCACTATAAAGGTGGAATAACTTTCAGCGATACTCTGTCGGTCCATGGCGAACTCAGCACAGAGCGTCACCTCGCCCCTCTTCTCTTCGAGACACAGCACCCATTGTTGATCTCGAGGCCATGCCCCGGAGCCTGCCCGTCGCAGTACTCGTCCTTGTTCGCAGCACTTCGATCCTCGCAGAGCTGTCCCTTGCCGAGCTCATGTGTTGAGTGAGTGTCGCTGGTTATATGTGGAATTTCACCCACCTCGGCTCGCCTTCTCACAAAGGACTGGAACTTCCTTTGATTTCGCTCTAAGCCTGTGGGAACAGCTGTTTGTCCGGCCTGTGTGTGTGTCATATTTATTGAGTAATATAAGTTTCATCAAGGCATGGTTCCTGTCACCTTCCTCAAGCCATCCCGCCATCAAAAGGAAACAGATGCTCCAGATTGCCCCTGAGTGCGTCCTTCTTCTCCACCCTCTGCACTATTGCCTCTCACAAAGGGTGTGTTGAGGCTTTTGAAGTTAAAACATTTTATTTTACCTCATAGTTTGATACCGTACCACTTGTAGTTATGATTCTGTACGTGACTCTAGGTATGTTGTAGTAGTCTTTCCATCGTGGTGTTTGATTTTTATTTTTAAGAGGAGATGCCCTCTGCCTGCGTATGCAAATTCTATCACGTGCTGCTGGAAGATAAAGGCGGCCGGGAGGCTCTCTTTCTCTCTGGGATACATTTATCTTGGTCACGTGATCGACCCAACTCGCCTAATCTCTTCTGGCTGGCCCCCCGGTTTAACACTTCATAATTATTATTTGGTTTATGTTTCCCAATATTCGTGAATAACTTTAGTATTAAACTCATATATGAGTGTTGATAACCCACTACTGTAGATTGTAGGCTGGTTCTTAATCGAAGTGAGTGTGTTGGTCTATGATGATAAAATAACCAAAAACGTGTCTGTTAATTACAATAACCAAAAACGTGTCTGTTAATTAAAATAACCAAAAACTTGTCTGTTAATTAAAATAACCAAAAACGTGTCTGTTAATTAAAATAACCAAAAACGTGTCTGTTAATTAAAATAACCAAAAACTTGTCTGTTAATTAAAATAACCAAAAACGTGTCTGTTAATTAAAATAACCAAAAACTTGTCTGTTAATTGAAATAACCAAAAACGTGTCGGTTAATTAAAATAACCAAAAACGTGTCTGTTAATTAAAATAACCAAAAATGTGTCTGTTAATTAAAATAACCAAAAACGTGTCTGTTAATTAAAATAACCAAAAACGTGTCTGTTAATTAAAATAACCAAAAACGTGTCTGTTAATCAAAATAACTAAAAACTTGTCTGTTAATTAAAATAGCTAAAAACGTGTCTGTTAATTAAAATAACCAAAAACGTGTCTGTTAATTAAAATAACCAAAAACTTGTCTGTTAATTAAAATAACCAAAAACGTGTCTGTTAATTAAAATAACCAAAAACGTGTCTGTTAATTAAAATAACCAAAAATGTGTCTGTTAATTAAAATAACCAAAAACGTGTCTGTTAATTAAAATAACAAAAAACGTGTCTGTTAATTAAAATAACCAAAAACGTGTCTGTTAATTGAAATAACTAAAAACGTGTCTGTTAATTAAAATAACTAAAAACTTTGTCTGTTAATTAAAATAACCAAAAACGTGTCTGTTAATTAAAATAACAAAAAAACGTGTCTGTTAATTAAAATAACCAAAAACGTGTCTGTTAATTAAAATAACCAAAAACGTGTCTGTTAATTGAAATAACTAAAAACGTGTCTGTTAATTAAAATAACTAAAAACTTTGTCTGTTAATTAAAATAACAAAAAACGTGTCTGTTAATTAAAATAACAAAACACGTGTCTGTTAATTAAAATAACCAAAAACGTGTCTGTTAATTAAAATAACCCAAAACGTGTCTGTTAATTAAAATAACCAAAAACGTGTCTGTTAATTAAAATAACCAAAAACTTGTCTGTTAATTGAAATAACCAAAAACGTGTCTGTTAATTAAAATAACCAAAAACGTGTCTGTTAATTAAAATAACCAAAAACGTGTCTGTTAATTAAAATAACCAAAAACGTGTCTGTTAATTAAAATAACTAAAAACTTGTCTGTCCGGTTTTCGCCGCCCTGGAAGCTGGCGAGGCTTTGAAGCCGTGTTGGGATTTTTCCAGACTCTCATTAGGAATTCACCCCCCCCCTTCTCTTTGTTTGGGTTTTATTACCTTTTATGGCTTACCTCCGGTTGCCTGGTTGCGTGTGAGGGCTGGGGTGTTCACCTCACCCCCTCTGGCCTCCAAGCGACACCACGATTGATTAAAAAAAATATTGGCAAAATCATTCTTAATATCAAAATGGAAAAAGGCCTAATTATATACAACATGACTCCAGGGTTGTCTTTGGCTTGGATAATGAAGTAGCTTGAGATGGCAGCTCCATTGTCATTTGATCGTGTATTTATGCCCAATGGGAGTTTTTTTAAGTTAAATTTTTGGATCCAGACACTAAATAGTCTTCACATATTCCTGATGAGCGTGTCAATGGCCGCCTTCAAGGCCTGGGGATAACTTAAACGTTTAAGCCCCGATGTCCTGCACGTCCCTGCGTGCGCGTGCATACAAATGTGCTCCGTGTGATCACCGACTTTACAGTGCTTTGAACCTTTTGCCGTTTTGCAGGACCCCGCTGGACAGGAGGGCAAACGAGGAGGAGGAGCTGCAGGCCGCATCTTGGCCCAACATCCCCAACCCCTTTCCCGAGCTGACGAGCCCAGCTGGTTCACCAGTGCTGACGGGGACATCGCTTCCCCCGAGACAGCCCGGCGCCAAACCAGTGAGTTCCACAGACCCCCCAAAAAAAGTATAAATAAAAAAATAAGCATTCTCATGAGCACGCGCATGCTATTAACATATGTCTTGACTGTGACAGCACAATTTTTGGTTTGCTGCTAAAATCCAGTCTGCTTCGTGGAACATTCCATATTTTTTTGTTTGCTATATACTTTCTTTTGTTTGGCGGGTCTTATTGCGGCAGAATTTGTGCTCATAAACTTCGGTGACCCTGATAGAATACTTAACTCAGGCACACATGTCGTCCCCACCGTTTGGGGTGGGGGGGTGGGGGCGTTTGACTGCCTTTCAGTGGCACAGAAATCGAATCTGTATTCCTTTCCTCCAGTACTCGAGCATGCCAGTAATGCCAATGATTTTTTTGTTTGTAATATGTTAGATTATACTCGTTTATTAATTAAAACCACGCTTGTGTTTTTGAGGATGTGTTTTTTTTCTGCTGGTTGAGACGTATTGTGGACATTTAGCCCTTGCCAGATTCCCAAAAAACAAAAACAAAATTGAGCACGTAGATAAGCGGACACCGTCACCTTGTGCCGGGGATCGCACGTGCCTCGGGGACGTGCTCGCACGCACGTGCGATTGCACTGCGGTGGCCCTCTTGGGTTCCTCCTGTCAGCTTTGCCAAGTCACACTAAGATGGGCAGACAGAGACATCGCGGTGGCGAGGTAACGCTATTCCCACAGCAGAATGCGTAGTGAATAGGCCACATCGGGTTACATTGTTTGCCCTCTTGGAATGCTGTAAATGGAGCAAGTGTGCGGGGACCTTTGGGAATTTGAAACCCCTCAAACCGACACTTGAGGCATGTCATGGACTTAATAATGCACTCGCTACTCAGGAATGTTGTCGAAAATTTGTTTTACCGCATTAACATTTCCCCCCTTAAATGTTATTATTACACGTATTGCTTTAGAATAGCGTGCTTCATCCAGCCTGGTTGTTCAGTGGGAGAGTGAACGGCCACAATCGGAATGTTGCAAGTTCTAAGCCCGGGTTCCCGATCGGCTTGGTCCATCATCCCTCTGGAGTGTATAAAATGGGAAACCACTGTGTGAGGCTGTCCTGTGGATATGACTCACCCCGCTGCGATCGGCTTCGGGCTGTAGAGGGGAAATGAGCACCACCTTAACGCTCATTGAGCAAAACAGCTCCTTAAAATTGCATACAGTAATTTGCTTCGGTAAAAGTATGATTATATTGGAAATTTCAACATCCCAGGTTGAATATTTTAGATGAACATTGAATGTTTAATTACTAAGTTACATACCATATTAAGCATATATCATATCTGTTTTTTCCTTCTTGAAAAAAATAATCTGCTCTTTTGCTCTGAATGACAGTGCTACACTGGAAGTGTAATACACCAAGTTTCCGATATCATCTTCATCATTAGGGCATATTTTGTTTTTACTATTAAGGCCACTTTTGAAACGAAATGTATTTTCACGCACTCCCACAGTGTGCGATGCTGCCACGTGCAATTGCAAGCTAGAGGTCGCCAGTTCGATTTCATATACCGTACTCGTGTGACAGTTAAAACAATGGCCAATTTTCTGAAATCCCTGCTACCCCCTCCCACCCTGTCTTATAATAAAAATGGGTTCATCACAGTTGGTCATTCGGCAGGGTCGGCAGGTCCCGCGTGTGTTGGCTGTAAAGTGTGGGTATTCCCACCTCGTTCAAGACCTCTGGCCAGTATAGAAGTAGGCTGAAAAAAAAGAACATCTCGAGGGATTCTCTAGAGTGGCTTTGTGGCGTTTCTCTCGAGTGGACGCCCTTCCGCCAACAGTGGCGTGAGCAAGTTATCGCAGGGTTGCACCTTTACCTATTTCACCCCCCTGTATGTGTGAATCAGACAAGAAGCCCTTCCCAACCCTAGGTAGTGAATTGCCTTGTGTGCCTGCAGCAGGTTGCTATTGCAAACAATGTCCCATTGTTGCCGGCTTAAAAAACTAAAATCTGTGTTTGCAGCATTCGCTTGAAGCGGGCTATTAGGTGCTTGTAATTGAGGTGGAAAGTAACTTGGCACTTGGGAGCCTATTAGACGACCGACCGTTGCTTGAGCTGTGGATTAAGTTACACTCCCAAATTACTCAGGATTTCAGCTTAGGAGTCCATGGCCCTTTGAAAAAGCAAAAAAAACTCGTAAATGATTCCTGTGTATTAATGCTTTAAAGTATTTTTCAGAAATTCTTGCAGGATGTGTTTAGTACCTTGATTGTCACAGATATAGATTATCATACAGTATTGTAAATAACGAATGGTAAGAATAATATCAATCATGATTTATATAGTGCATTTCGCATGAATAATGGCATCTCAAAATAGCTGCTAAATAAGGCAATCACACTCAAAGTTTAGCCCTGATGGATTTAATATTGTGTTGGTCTATAAGCATCTCCAGGCTACCTCACAGCTTAACCCTGTTTCCAGGTAGTCTCCAATACAAGTGAAGTACTAACCAGACTCAATGGCATATAGATTAAAAGATGTACACTGATGATAATTGAGATGTGTTTATAATATTCCTTCATAGTTAACTTTGGTTACAAAGCATGCATCTATATGGCCTCATGAACTTTCACTTGACAAAATCCCATGTGCTGCAACTGGACAGTTGCAGAGGTGTCATAATAAGTTATATGCGCACACACACTGGAAAGTGGTGCAATTTCTTTGGAAAAGATGCAGTGGGCAAACATTCCACAACTGTGCTCTTTTGGGAACATGAGAACAGTCTATGGGGACTTAGTTATATGTATTTGAGTCAGTCCATTGGTTGTGAAGTGTGGACAAACAATAGCCACGACATGGTGCGTGGAGGCCTTCATCCAGCGCTGTGGGTTGACAAAGGGCTGTAAATTACAAAACATTCTTACGTGAGTCAAAAAAGTCAGCAGTGCTGCGGTGCCATGTTTATGCTGCTAACAGTTAACACGTGCATCACTATAGCTGTATGGCAGCTGAGGATACAAGAATGCGGAGTCACAATGTTGCTTAAAACTTTATTTTCACGAGACCAGATATGAAGCCCCAGGATGCCAAAGCAGACACTAGTAGCTCAGTTCCATGTAATTATAAATGATGCATTCTACATTTAAATGTCCCTACAGATCATAGCAGCCGCATATTATGGTGCAATATTTGAAGGGCCCATTTAAATGGGTTCAATGGATAAATATAAAGCACTATATTATTCTTCACTTATTACATGACATCATTGCTCTGGTGTCTAGCACAGTGCTCGGATGCATTTTCCAAACAATTATTACCATGATAATTGTATATATTAATGCCACTAATTGACAACAACAACAATAATAATTCACTTAACCAGTTAGAATATTGAGATTGTATAGTCTGGCCAGGGCGCACTTGATCCAATACGCATGTTTTACCCAGGACACCTCACTGGGTCTCTTGACTCTTTTCAGGAGGATCCTGGCCAAGTTTTTTTCATTAAGGGGTAATGATTGTTACGTAGATTCCAAATGGGTAGTTTGCAGATACATTTTTGTTGTAAAATTTGGAAAGTTTGTGCCATGACGCTGGGACACAATGGCCTACTTTTGTGAACGGTGCCCTGGTCTTAAGAAGGGTGGCCGTAAGGAGTGGAGCCAGGATTTTGACTTTGGGGGGGGCTGACTTCAATATTCTGAGATATCCAGTGTTTATCTTTTCCAATGGGCGCCACAACTGTATAAACCAAATTTTATTGGATTTGAACGCGGAGTTTATTGATAGGTCGGAGCCGCTGATGTGGCTAATAATTTCGATAAGTTCGAAAGGCTGCCGCTCAAGCAGCCTGCAGGGCAGCACAAGGTGGCAGCCAGCATTTTGCAGCAGCCGGATATCCGGTTATCCCGATTACCGATTGTCCCAAAATTTCAGGGGGGGGGCTGAGCCCCCCCCAGCCCCCCCCTGTGGCTCCGCCCCTGGTGGCCGTTGGCTTTGAACTGTGAACTTCTGCAACAGGCGGCAGAAGCACTACAGCTAGGCCATGTCACTGCTAGTTGTGTGCTTTAACCACGTTATTCTTACCACTCTAAAATAAACATATTAGGTGACAACTTTGGGTCTGTAATTTCAGACTCAGAATCTGAATATTTATTAATACTGGAGGAATCCGATGAGCTATAAAGCTCTTTTTCACAGATGTCCAGTCGGGGCGGGTAAGAACGTTACAACAACCAACAATACAAACACGATAGGAGTGCAAAGTACAAGAACGGTAAACAAATCACCCAAACACGTACTAAACCATCCTTATTCTACCAGACAAAGCCCACTGAGGTGTTAACTTATTTTTCAAAAGCAGCCTTGGCCACAAATGATCGCTCCAAAAAGTGTCTTATCGTTTGGACATTTCTAGCAGCAAAAAAATATCTAAATAGTCTAAATGCAGGTTTATGACATATTAATAATCAATTCAGCCGGACAAATGTAATTGTATATATACACACAAAATGTGTGCCTTGTGATGTAATGGCCTACTTCTGTTAAACGTTTGCTGAAACATTGAAGAAGGTTTAATGAAAAAAAAACCGAGCAGAACGCAGATGTCGCATTCATCATTGGGCAAGTTGTGTGAAGTTTTGAAACTGACATAAACAGATCAGTTTCAACACATTGGTGCAGCATTCACATGAATGCTTTCTGGTAATTAAATGATTATTCACCGTGCAGTCACACATTGGCATTTTCAACATCATTTGTCACTGAAAAAGCAGTAACCAGCCATACGATGTTGCTAAAACTAGACCGAGTGACTGGCATCCATCATTCGCGGATTTGAGGCTTTGCATCTAGATTTGGAAATTGCATGAAATACAATTTTAAATTCAGCAGTTTACAGAGGCTTTATAGAGACGATACTTAGATTATTATACAAATCATGTAGAATTAGTTTTGAAAATGTATGATGTTTTAGTAAATACTTTTCTAAATTTGTTTATATTTTCGTCCATTGATATATACATTTTTTTAGAAACCCAGATATGAAAATGGCTCCTTGGCACGGTCATGTTTTATATTTACTTGCTCCTATCATGCCTTACATGTCACAATCATGCATGCGGCTTTGTATTGTGGCACATTCTCACCCTTTTAATGTTACACTTCACGAAGCGCATTTCCAACAACCTGTAATAAATCAATCACCACACTCCTCTACTCATAACAATGTGAATAAACCTAGAGTGCAATGATTCTCAGTTATACAACACTGAAACAATTCGATTCTTATTATTGTTATAACCATGTTATATGAAGAAAAACATTACGTCGTAAAAATGTGGCTTTTACATGCATTCAGATTTGTGCAAACATGCTTCCATGTCATGTGTTTGAGTTAGTATTTTCAAGAACCTTTAAAGCTTCAGCACTTGAATAATAACCACTTAAATTTTGATTTAAAGCTTTTGTGACTGCAGGGATTCATATTCTTGGTTCTTTCGGTAAAGTCACATGGAAGGGAAACAATAAAAATAAAATAATAAAAATATAAAACAATAAAATTCTCACGACGTTTCGACTGCAACACAAGCAATCATCATCAGGTGTGAAAACCACAGCAAAAAATAATAACCACTTGTTAAAATATACTCACCATATTTATACTACTGTCAATTATTATACTTATAGGTTAATTTGATACAATACAGTGAGGGAAAAAAGTATTTGATCCCCTGCTGATTTTGTACATTTGCCCACTGACAAAGAAATGATCAGTCTATAATTTTAATGGTAGGTTTATTTGAACAGTGAGAGACAGAATAACAACAAAAAAATCCAGAAAATCGCATGTCAAAAATGTTATAAATTGATTTGCATTTTAATGAGGGAAATAAGTATTTGACCCCTCTGCAAAACATGACTTAGTACTTTGTGGCAAAACCCTTGTTAGCAATCACAGAGGTCAGACGTTTCTTGTAGTTGGCCACCAGGTTTGCACACATCTCGGGAGGGATGTTGTCCCACTCCTCTTTGCAGATCTTCTCCAAGTCATTAAGGTTTGGAGGCTGACGTTTGGCAACTCGAACCTTCAGCTCCCTCCACAGATTTTCTATGGGATTAAGGTCTGGAGACTGGCTAGGCCACTCCAAAACCTTAATGTGCTTCTTCTTGAGCCACTCCTTTGTTACCTTGGCCGTGTGTTTTGGGTCATTGTCATGCTGGAATACCCATCCACGACCCATTTTCAATGCCCTGGCTGAGGGAAGGAGGTTCTCACCCAAGATTTGATGGTAGATGGCCCCGTCCATCGTCCCTTTGATGCGGTGAAGTTGTCCTGTCCCCTTTGCAGAAAAACACCCCCAAAGCATGTTTCCAACTCCAAGTTTGACGGTGGGGATGGTGTTCTTGGGGCCATAGGCAGCATTCCTCCTCCTCCAAACACGGCGAGTTGAGTTGATGCCAAAGAGCTCCATTTTGGTCTCATCTGACCACAACACTTTCACCCAGTTGTCCTCTGAATCATTCAGATGTTCATTGGAAAACTTCAGACGGGCATGTATGTGCTTTCTTGAGCAGGGGGACCTTGCGGGCGCTGCAGGATTTCAGTCCCTCACCGCGTAGTGTGTTACCAATTGTTTTATTGGTGACTATGGTCCCAGCTGCCTTGAGATCATTGACAAGATCCTCCCGTGTAGTTCTGGGCTGATTCCTCACCGTTCTCATGATCATTGCAACTCCACGAGGTGAGATCTTGCATGGAGCCCCAGGCCGAGGGAGATTGCAGTTATTTTGTGTTTCTTCCATTTGCGAATAATCGCACCAACAGTTGTCACCTTCTCACCAAGCTGCTTGGCAATGGTCTTGTAGCCCATTCCAGCCTTGTGTAGGTCTACAATCTTGTCGCTGACATCCTTGGAGAGCTCTTTGGTCTTGGCCATTGTGGACAGTTTGGAATCTGATTGATTGATTGCTTTTGTGGACCGGTGTCTTTTATACAGGTAACAAGCTGAGATTAGGAGCACTCCCTTTAAGAGTGTGCTCCTAATCTCAGCTCGTTACCTGTATAAAAGACACCTGGGAGCCAGAAATCTTTCTGATTGAGAGGGGGTCAAATACTTATTTCCCTCATTAAAATGCAAATCAATTTATAAAAATTTTGACATGCGTTTTTCTGGATTTTGTTGTTGTTATTCTGTCTCTCACTGTTCAAATAAACCTACCATTAAAATTATAGACTGATAATTTCTTTGTCAGTGGGCAAACGTACAAAATCAGCAGGGGATCAAATACTTTTTCCCTCACTGTATGTTCCCAGATATATTTATACTGGTTTGAATTGCAAACAAGCATGTAAAGTTTAAATATAGTATTTGAAGGGGACAATTTTCCGTGTAAACACGCAAGCAATCTTCCTTGCTTCTGTTTATAATAAATGTTCAGTGTTATTTTCCCTTTTCCCTTCCAGAAAGATAATTTCCTGCTGTTACAACATTTAATATATTACATTTAAATCGAATTAATACATATCCCCAAATAAGAAGACTGCATTTTCCACAAACTTAATTTTGCTCAAATATTTTTGTTCAGGTTATGGAAATACCTACATAGAAGTCGGTATTAATGACCATGTAATTCCAGTTTGTTTAGTTTCCTAATGTCTCAGAGTTATTACAGTACACAACTTAATTTACATTTCCGAAAACACTTGGTGAGTTCCAAGAAATGTTATTGCGAGAGTTATCAGAAGAAAACCTCTGAATGTGGAAAGGGGTTTAAGCCAAAGGGAGAGATGTTATGTGTGCCAGTCAGCGTTGGCATCCTACCAAAAAAATAGAAGACATTAAAAGAAACACAGTGTAACATAGACTGCCTTTTATATTTTCAGATGGTGCTGCCCGAATGAATGTTTGGATTTAAACATTATTTAATAACGGTAATATTTACTAATATATAGTGAAATCTAGTGTGTGCAGGGACCCGATGTCTTCCAACTTCATAGTGAAAAAAATTAATCCTAAATGGAAATAGAAATTACAAGCAACAAGAAATACAGCAATCAAAAACGCAGTGCAAACTGCATCAGCCAAGCCATGCATGCGTGATGTCACAACCAGCTTTGACGTTACCGAGCAATGTAACATTAATGAGCACAGGGTGTGTACACCCTGTGTCACTCGTGGGCGTTGTGTGAGCATACTTCACCACGCTGGTCAGTGTGGGATAGTAAAAGGGGAGCCCCAGTACCAGTTCAGATATCACCACTGATATAAGCTGTGACCAGGATTCAGACTAAGGGCACCGGCAGGTTCATAACACTGTGCCACCACTCTAAAGTTTTCAGAACTTAAGAATAAGGCCACTTGTTCAAGCTTGTTAATATTTTATATTATTTGTTTTTTTTATGGATACGTTCACTGAAGCAGCCAATTGACTATTTACATTTGGAATGTATCTTGAATAAGTATTAAGGGCTGGTAGTCAAAAGTTTTAATTATATTACAAAAAATCCTTTTAATGAAATATTATTAGTAAAACAAAAAATTGCCATGTATTTTTATACGTAGTGTTACACAGATTTAGCTTTCCTCTTTAAAAAAAAAGTAAATTTCCATTTTATTTTCAGCAAGTGGCCTGGTCTCCAGGTTCCTGGAACCCAAACGGAGGCCTTGGTACATCTCCATTATTGGACGTTAAGGTAAAGCACTTCATCACATGATACCCTGTCAATATGATGTACTTCAGTGGTAACAAAACAGAGAGGCAAAGGACCTTATTAATGGCCACTTGTGCGTCTGCATTCTTCCATCAGTCTGATGCCGTCTGTCTCCTATAGTAACCAGACATCAACACTGCGGTCACCTGCTGTTAATTGTCGGATGTTAGTGATTGCTTCGGACACAAACGAGCTGGGCTAGTATAAACATATTTATTTAAATCTGCATATTAAAGCAGGCTTTTTGTGGAAATAGCTGAAATGTGGGTCACGGTAAAAAAAAACCATTGAATTTTTTGGCGTTCAGGGCTGCAGCGTGCGCTCGTATTGTGTAGTTGCATGCCGATTGTATGTTTTTTTTTCGTAAATAAAAAAAATACCTTGACAATGCATTTAATATTTAGATTTTTTCCTCAAAAGCAATTCTATATTTTTACATTTGTATTGTGTGTGTTTTGCAAAAGTAAGCCACACGTAATTAATGAAACAGGGACATGAATAACCCAAACTTGTTGCTACTGTGCGCTTACATATATATGCTGTATTGAATTGTATGTATTTACATATTGCTTATTGCCAAATAATAAGGTATTACATCGGCAGTAGTATTAAAACACTGTCTACTTAGAAAATAAATCTAATTCTATTTTATTAAACTCCCTCTTATCCTTGCATTTGCTATCCTTGATAAGACACCAATTATAGAATAAATTTGGCACGATGTACGGTTCAGTGACTTATCTGTGGTAACCATACACAATTCTATGTATGTATTACAAAGTACAGCGCTGCAGTGTAGTGTAATACGCTGTACCTCTTGGCTATGGTAGATGACAGTGGAAATGTCTAAATCGTCAACATCAATCATCGCGCTTGTCATAATTTTCTTTATCCTCTTTAGCAATAATTAATCCGAGATTATAGGATCCATTTGCAACACAGTGCAACGTACTGTGCTCTCTGGTGTGTTTGTCGGATAGTCCCTTGTATTGTTTGGTATGATATTAGACGTTTCGCTCCACATGCCTCTTTTTGAATTGAGTTCATTCAGAATCAGAATCTTTATTTATCCTGGAGAAATCCGACGAGCCATGAAGCTCTTTTACACAGATGTCCAGTAGGGGCAGGTCAAAAAGTCCAAACAACAAATCTTCAGTACCTGAAAAGAAGGCCCCAGCGTGTGGAGTGAAACGTCTGACATGCCGAGCAACATGCGGTAAAACACGTCAAAGAGCAATAGCAGTTCAAGTGAGAACACTTGCGCAGAAAAGTTTCACGCGCTTGCGGTGACTTTTTTGTGTTTTTAAGAAGATAGCAGTAGAGGAATACGACGACTTGGGTGTCTTGAAGGAGACATATTTATTTTGGACACAGTGAGCTGAATTAGGCTTTATTCACGTTGCCATCTTTGTCAGGAAACCCACATTTTATTTTGACTAATTACATTGGGTTATAAATCAGTGAGAAATGGGTAAAAGTGGCTTATGTGCAAAGGCGGCTTGCGTGGCAACACGGCGGAAGGCTGGCAGTGCCAGCCATCACATGTTGCGTGGGTGACTGGGTTTTGCCTTTCAGCCCAAATGCATCATGTTGCAGTGCCCGCAAGGTTAATTATAGTGAGGAAGGGCATCCCAGTAACTGGATGGCGTGGGTGTGGGATCACTTCCCAGTAACGAGGCCAAGAATCTGTTTCGTGGCTAGCCGACTGTTTTTAGTTATATAAACCAAACTCGCCACAAGTGTGTGTTTGACACATTTTGACACATTAGTTAAAATGTTATTGTTTTTCGGGTTTTTTTAACTTTCATAACAGAAAACCTGATCTTGACAAAGTATGTAACCTTTTTCATTAATCAACAAAGGAAAGTTTGTCATTTTAGATTAGCTTCAGAACGTTGAAAATGCTTCAGTTACAAACATGTTCAATTGTGCTGTTCTAAAACATTTAGTTTATCTTCTCTAACTGTTTACAATCATTTAGAAATGTAGGAGTTTTGACACTATCGCGTTTTCGACATGGAACCGAATGACCGAAAGGAAAATGGTAGTTTATTCTAGCATACCTTAACTTGAAGTGAATTGTGAATACAGTATAATGTTAAGGCCATGTCACCGTGTCCTGATTATCTATATAACACTAGACTATCCATACACTTTATATGCAATGTATTTCAAAGATGAAGCATTGCAATTAAGACATTACACTGCATTTAAGCTGTGCATAATTTAATAATGATTCATAATAGAGTTTTTTGGTGAGATCGTGTAAATATAAATGTGTTGTTAAACCCACCGCCACTTGGCACAGCCAATTAGTACGGTTCGTCACGTAACAAAACGTGCCAATTCGTTACTAGCACAGCCTACCGGTGTGCTGGAGAGTAAACCCACAACATTTACAATTTAAAATCTACTCGAATTGTAAATGTTGTGGGTTTACTCTCCAACACCTCTCCAACACACCGGTGTGCTGTACTAGTAAGGAATTGCCAAGTTATTTGTTTACATCACCAACCTGACTAATTGGCTGTGTCGGGCGGTCACGGGTTTAACGACACATTTAAATTAACGCGCTCTAACCCAAAAAACCTCTTATGGATCATATTGGTCACGTAGGCTTAAGTGTTACATTTAATCATGATTGTCCGTTCTTTGTCAATCCACGGCTGGATGAAGGCCTCTGCACGTCACGTTGGTCATGGGGGTTGTTTTTTGCCATACTTCATGCTGCTCAGTGTGTTGAAGGGGGAGCCCAGGACCAGTTCGGATATCGTGTGTCACTCACGTTAGTGCAGCCAGGAATAAACAAAAACACAGATCGCCGGGTTCATAGTACAGTGCGCTCACCACTGTGCTACAGAGCCACATCTGTTGATAAACAAACTACATTAAATATATCGTAGTTAACAAAAACATTAAACAAAACACATTTGATTTTAGTAAAATAAATATAGTTAACCTTTTATTTCCCAGTTCAGGGGGGAAAAAATCCCATAGTGGATCTTCTGCGTACAACCATCTGGTAGCTATTACCATTGTCAATACACAAATAATTGTTTCTCTCTGTCAAAAATATGTTTTCATGGCCCAGGGTTGCCTGCCCTAGGAAAAACAATGTAATCTGCTAGTGTTCTCTGGGTATTATCACCATCATCAGATTATTTCTGGTAATGGTCCCCTGAAGGGCTACACCAAACCCTAATTAATGCCTACCGGTTTTTCTTCCTCCCAAATCAAGAGTAACATTTCAAGGTCAACGAAATCCCAAGTTGATTTTTGCAACTCCATTTACACAATGACAACGCTCTTAACTCTGCCAGTGAAGCCTTCATTCATGGCTTTACTCGTACAGTACGAGTGTATATTTGGCTAAACAACGTTTATTCGGAGTAGACGGAGGGATGACTTCTACCGGTTCCGAATATCTTGGGTCCCAACCGTGGATTCGCTCGGTTCACCCGGGGGGGGGGGGGGACGTGACCATTGATACCGCCCCCCCCCCCCCCCGCCTGATAATTGGAAGAATTTCCTTTAATAACCCTGTTTATCTGTGGTCCCGACCCCGAACGTTTGGAAGTGCCTCGCTCACCTGAGACGTGAAAAAAACGCCACCAAATGGCACGCTGCCAGCAGGCGAGGGCACGGAGGACCCTCGAGGGCCATTCTGTGACAAAGTTTACGTCACAGAGCAAGGTGGAAAACACCAGGCGCTTGCCCCTCAGGCACCAATCCTACTGGGTCTCTCCTAACAAGATGGCAAGCAAGCTCCCTCCTCATACCCGTCCCTAAGATACTTGAATACAGCAACGTGCAAAGCACTCGGTGGCACAGCAGCATTCTTTGTTACCATGTACAGCACTGCATGATATATTCATTTTGACAGATTTTGTGGAATAACTCTGTTTATCCATGGTCCCAACTTCAGGAACGTGTTAGTATTTGCTGAATAAATCCGTTTAACCATGCCCCCAGATATTTGGAAGAGAGAAGTAGGTTTTGCCGACCCTGGATCAACAAATTAATGGATAATCAGGTCACAGATAAATGGAGTTTGACTGTAGCTGCTTTTTGCATTAAAAGGTTACTCTGACGTGCAGTGTCCAATCTGTGATTTAAACCTACATCCCAAATCCACTCGAATGTCTTTAAGCCCGCAAAGCAAAACATCATACTCTTTGGACTACCTGCAAAAAGGGTAAGCGATTCATACACAAATCAGTCACACTTGTACCAAATGTGGATTATAGCAGCTACAGACATCTGACCTAATATCCCCCCCACCCGCACTGCAGTCTGAATGTGGCTGCTTTGTCAGGATTTGCTCATTTGAAAGGATTATTTATAATTATACAGCTGCTGGATCAGCCTTCATTCTTTGAGCACTGAGGGGAAAAGGTGGCTTTAAATCCCGTGTGATTGTATAAAAAATATATAGGTGGCATTCAAGACTTACTGCTATAAGAGTGGTTTTGATGACATAGACAATGTTGGAATCAGTGCCCTTAAAAACCTCGTTTGGCAATAGTGGTGTAAAGTTATCTACATCATAATTTATTGTAAAGTTATTGTACAATGAGTCTCAAAACATTAATTTTCTAGTTCGAAATCAATATTTCTTTTCATGATTTGGTTACATTTAGAAAACAAATGTAAAACTGTTTTTTGATGGTGGACGGATTTAGCATTTAGAGTTTTCCTGTAGTTTTTAGGATGTATTCATTAGTATATTCCATAGATATGGGTTCTTTGACGATTTTTTTCAGTGGACCACAGAGTAAAATTATCTTGTCCTGGCGGGCCTCGTGAGGTCTTCCGTCACGTGTACAGGTGTTATGACGTAAGGTCATTTGACCACTAATCTCGGCCACTTGTCTCCAGGTCGCTTATCTCAAATTCGTTATCACCCTTTCATCTTGCAAATCTTTATCTCTTGCCGACCACTCTCTATTATTGCTCGTTTAACTCGGATTTTTTTACTCACC